CAGTGATTTTCACCATTATTACTCCAGTTTGTATTTGAATAATTGAAATATGTGGGAATCTATATTCAGAATACCCAGTTCTTTCTGATCTGCGTATGCATTTTCAGCAAGTTTTATTGAGTTTGTAATTTTTTTGCAAGGCTATTAGCAATATAAACTCTATCAAGAAGCAATGATTACTGCAGCATGTATTTGTCACGCCTCACAAAACAAAGATCAGAGCTGTGTTTGACTACAGTCCTCAGAAATGTATACCGTATCTCTGAGATAACTTAGTTTGGTTTTAAGAATGTCTACACGAAGAGGCTGCACCAGTTAAATTACACTAGTTTCTCTGTTGGACTTGTCTACACATATCTTTTTTTTTTATTACACACTTCAGTAAATTTACAGAAATAAATCATATTGATATAACTCCCTTTATACTAATGTAACTGACTGCACAAGGTGCTTGCACCAATGATATTTCTGTTTGTAAATTAATATAGTGTTTGTTTAATTTTCACTATGTGTGGACCAGCTTTCAGTTGAATCAGTACAATTTTCTGGTGTATATAAAGCTATAGAGACTTTATTATCAACTCCTGAAAACATTTACTTGACACATGCTAACATGAGAATTAAGGCCATGTCTACACTTACAAGCTTATAGTGGCATAGCTGTATGGATACAGCTATGCCCCTATAAGAGCGCTCGTGTAGCCATGTTATGCCAATGGGGAAAGACAGGAGAGCTCTTCCGTCAACATAATAAAACTAGCTCAACAAATGGTGTGCTCATGACTGTTCATGCTGGCAAAATTTATGTCGCTTGAAGCTGTGATTTTTCACATCCCTGAGAACCAAAATTTTGCTGATGTATGTGCTTGTGTATATATGGCCTAAAGTCTTTGAACCAAAGTGTGAAATACCTGAAAAATGATGACCCTGCCTAGATTAGGAAATGTGTTTATTTTGTAGGTAGCATTTTTAATTACCATATTTAAACACCAATTAGCACCTATTATAGACAGCACATTTAAAAATGGTTAGCTGGCATAGTCAATCCTAGTGAATTTTCTGGGAGGTGGGAGCTCAGCATTTACAGAAAATCAAGCCTCAGTGGGTGCCTGAAGATGAGCATTCATAAATGCAGGTATCAAAATCACTAATTAATTTAGAAAATCTTGGTCATAAGTGAAAGCTTAAATTCTTCAAAAGTTTCTGAAATTCACCTGGAACAGCTTCCAGCATTCTGAAGATGAGTGGACTTCATAAATTGCCCTTTTACATGATCATACATATATGTCTACCCTCATACACATCAACACTGCAAAGGAAAACTGGTGGCACACATGTACAAGACACTACTCTTAAGTCGGAGCTTCTAGACTAGATGCCAACTTTAGTAGGACTCTCCTGCAGTTACTGCTTATATAGGACTCCTATTACCCACCTTCAATCAGGCAGACAGTTAGGGCTTGTCTATGTAGATGCTTTGAGGGTAGAAAGCCAAGGGGTAAATCTACAGTTCATTGGCTTGCCACATATTAATGGCTGGGGGCCCCTGCCACTGTGTACTAGAACTTCCGTAGTGCACTTTGGTGTACATGCCAGTGTTTTATAGCAGTGTTTCTCAATCAGTGGTATGAGTACCCTAGGAGTACTCGAGAGGAGTTTGGGGGTAGGTCAACACAACTGAAATTTGGAGAAAACTGGATTTTTGTTTTAAGTTTTACAGCGCTTTATTATTTTTGTACTCTTTACACCCAAAAATGTCATCGCCTGCCTGGCTATGATTAAGTTATTTAAACAAATGTGTTTGCAATGGTAGAAAAAAAAGTGTGTGTCTGAAAACTGTAAGTACTGGGGGTACTTTTTTTTAAAGGGGGTATTTATAATTTTTTTTTAAAAAGGGGTACTTTATAACAATAGATTGAGAAACACTGTTTTATAGCAGTATGCAGCGTTATGAATCATAAATTCTGGACACAGCTTTTGAAATTTTCTCATTAACTGTGTGATGACTAAGGGGGCACATGATAGAGGACTATAAAATCATGACTGGTGTGGAAAAAGTGAATAGAGAAAAGCTACTTACTTGTTCCCATAACCTTAGAGCTCAGGGACACCAAATGAAGTTAATAGATATCAGGTTTAAAATAAACTAAAGGAAGTTTTTCTTCATACAACACACAGTCAATCTATGGAACTCCTTGCCACAGAATGTTATGAAGACTAGGACTTTATCAGGGCCCAAAAAAGAGCTAGGTAAATTCATAGAGGTTAGGTCCATCAGTGGCTATTAACCAGGATGGGTAGGAATGGTATCCCTAGCCTCTGTTTTTGAGAGGCTGGAAATGGAAGACAGGAGAGGAATCACGTGATGATCACCTGTTCTGTTCACTCCCTCTGGGACACCTGACATTGGCCACTGTTGGAAGACAGGATACTGGGCTAGATGGTCCTTTGGTCTGACCCAGTATGGCCATTCTTTTGTTTTACGTTCTTATGTGATCTGCCTACCTGGGTTTTAAAACTCTATCCATCACTGGCGTATCTGAGTTCTTTAATGCTGCACCTTTGCCAGTAATAAAGAATGAATGCAGTGAAATACCTTTCCTATCAAGTTTTAATTTAGAAATTCTAATGGAATTGTATTTCTGGTGAATTATTGTTTCTCTCAGATGACTGAAGTTTTGGCCTTTTGTTGCTTTGTGACTCATAGTGCATTTGATGTGCAACCTGGCTTATTCTGCCTTTGATTCCTTATTTGGATGTTCTCCTATACTTTAACACAACCCTTTGTTTTGTATACATTTTAATCCCTTACCTTATTACCTAGACCTTTATTTATTTTCACCACTTCTCCCCCTAAAGACAACTTTCATCTCTACACTAGCATAGATTACCTATCTCATCTGTATTTTGCACTCCCTATTTTTCTGTTAAATTATTCATTGATCTGCCCACCCAACCATATTTTTAATTCCTTCTGTAGACTTGCACCTTGCGGCTTGTGATTCTGCATTGATAAATACTAATCACATTTGAAATCTATTCCTATTGCCCAGCTGCTGACTAGGATATGCAAAACATGCCTTAATGTGGTGTGCCTTTATTTACAGTGTGTCAAAACCATTTCAGAGAGGAACTAAAAATTGTGGAATGTTCTGGAATAAAGCAATCAAGCTGCTGGAAAAGGCTTTAAATAGATTTTGTCTGTCACTCACCATTTGGTAACTGAGTCTTGCCATGTAAAATCACTGTTGAAACTGACATGTCTGTCTGCTCAATTTAGCATTCTTCAATTTTGAGTGCATCCAAATCAACTGAATCTGCAGGACTTGATCTTCAAATGTTTGATCAGAATTTGCTTTGAACTGGACTGTTTTATGCACACAGTATTTCAAAAGCGAAGATAAACAGGAACGATCTATGAATATTCCAATAGGCTCTACCCTTGATGTTAATTTTTACTACTCTGGATTAAAATATTTTTATCCAAAATAATTAAATTTTTAGATTTATTTTTTTCTGTTGTGGGAAAGGATGTTAAAATGGATAATTCGATTGTTCTTTTGATATGTGCATGTCGAACATTAGCACAGGGCAGCTGTGGAGAATTCAAAGACTATCAAGTGTCACACAGTGAACTGCTAGTTTGCAATGGCCTCTTTCAAATTAAACACATTATGAAGTGATGGCATAGCAGGCTAACACAGTAAAGAAAATCAAACAGCTTTGTATTTCTGAGTTTTGAATTTTAAGAGCTCCTTGTTAGGAACTGTAGCTGTAATTCTTAAAAACAAGTTGATTTTATGATTTTTTCCCATTCTTGAGACTTCATTTCCTGTTCTAGAATTATCTATGGACCATTTACTGTTGGTCTTCAGACAACTGGCTATCCACATTGTGCAGGCTTTCCTTCTTTTTTTTCTTTTCTTTTTGCAAATTTTACTGAAATGAATTAATTTCCTAATACTTTTTTTTATCTGTAACCAGTTTCTGTATTTTCCAAAGGCCTATTATGTGTTCATGAATAGGAAGGGAGCTGGTCAGAAGTTTGTCTTCTCAACTAACTTTAAGTTTTGATCCACACGTTGAAGAAAGTAAGAAACTCTGGAATTGGGTTCTCTAGTCTTCATTTAGTACACTGTGAAAATGAAAGGAAAGAACATAAAATCAATAAGGATGAGGATGGATGTTTATATTTTTATCACAGTTTTATATATAAGACTATTCTAAAAATGTATACAAAAATATGATGGTTTAACAGTTCCCTGGTGTCCATAAACCTGCCAGACTGGGAATTTTCCTGCATGTCACGCTACTGTTTAGTAGCTGCCCCCACATGGTCAAGTACATTGGGAAAGGTCCCCGATGATGTGTGACACCATACCTGCCAATGCTTAGATGCATGGAGCTGCCAGCTCTAACCAGGTTACTGTTGCTACTAGTTACACATATGTTTCAACTGCATTCTGACAATTCTACATGTACTGGAATTTTAAATGTTTTGTTATTTCCGTAATGCCATGGACTGTGCCTTTAGATCTTACAATCAAAATTAAGGACAGAACTGAGCAGCTGCTGAAGGGAAAGATTTGCAGCACAATTTGGTTGCAGAAAGATGGGAGTGTCAATGTTTTCACTGAACAATCATTCTGAACTATTGATTTTTAAGATCAGAATAGTCACTAAAGAAAATGATGCTGTTTTTCCTTCATATGATTGTAAATTGAACAAAAGATTATACAGGAATAACTCCCAAATGTTCATTGTGAGCTGGGATTAATTGATGCTTTTTTTTCCAGCTAATCTTCCAGTACCAACAATTGCTGCGATAGATGGTACTGCATTAGGTGGTGGCCTAGAACTGGCGTTAGCCTGTGACATAAGAGTAGCAGGTAAGACTGAATCCTATTAAATGAACAGGAGATTATTAGCCTTACAGAAGTCTTGACTAATCCTTGTCTTGGCAACAGTCCTTATATGACATTATATATGCTCAATTATTTCTATGTGATTTAGCAAAAACTTGACTGAAATAATTGCTGATGTTTAATTTCAGACCACTTACTGTTGATAGCTAGAGCATTTTTGTTGCCTGTTTTAATTTATTCTTATGAACTTCACTTCATCGTTAGCAGTCTTCACTTTATCATTAGCGGCGATCCCAGAAGGCTAGGGCAGAGATTGAGAATTTTTTTATAATTAAAATGCGCTTGTCATCAAAATTTGTTACGATACAAGCAGGTTGCAGGAAATAGGCCAGAGTAGTTTGTGAGTGTATTATTAAACAAGCAATTAAGCTCTTATAAAATAAAAGTGACAACAGCACATGAAAAGAGGAGCCTTGATCTATCCAGCTGTCAGAACCGTAAAACCATTTGTTGGAAAGTAAATGGAAACTTGCTCTTGAGCAGTTGCCAGCATACTCATAGTATATTAAGCTGTTTGACCCTGAGGGAGTAGTCAGCCAACTAAAGAATTCATAATCATCAGAAACAGACTTCCTCACCATTTCAAGTTGTTAAATAATAGTATTGCCACTTACTTTTAGTGTTTTAAAATCTACAAATAATTCTCTGCATTATTGGATCTAAATAACTTACTTGCATCAGCAATCCTCCTGTGTGAAAATTGATGAGGTACAGAGCCTATCTTGACAGGAATAGCTTCTTGGTTCTTTTAATAAATGCAGATCAATTTGGTGTCTTTCTGTATTTCTATAGGCAAATGATTTTTAAAGTGATGGTTTGTTGTTTGTAAGACAAGTTTAATAAATTAACAGATTGTTATAAAGAATCTTTTGTATAAACTTTTTCAAAGTATTATTTAGTATAAATTATGTAAAATCATTACATTTTATGCTTCTTTTCAAGCCTCTTCTGCTAAAATGGGTCTAGTTGAAACAAAGCTGGCAATCATTCCAGGTGCAGGTATGAATTTGTGTCTTGTATAATACTGAAGATAAGCCCACTGCTATCCAGTGGTCTTGGTGTTGGTGATTTTGCATTGATGGTTATACATTTTGTGTTTAACTTTGTATATTTTTGTTAAGTGTTTAAAACTATGTTAACTAGGGATGTAAATACCGGTTAAATAGTTAACTGGTTAAATTAGACTATTTAATTGGTTAATCATTGGCGGGTTGTCCTGCCCAGGTTGCTCAGGTCCCGCTGGGATCCTGCTTGCTTGCCCAGGTCACTGCAAGGTCCAGCCTGCTCACCCAATGCAGTGAGAGTCCAGCTGGCTGGCCCCATGCAGCCAGGACTATTTCAGCCTCATGTAGCTGGGTGTCTAGTTGCTTAATCGGTAAGCATTCTGGCAAGCCTAATTTATATCCCTGTTTTAAACCATGTTTCCCTCTGAAAATTATAATTTTTTTTCTGATGTCTTTAAGGAAATTAGTTATGTAGGTTTTTTTTAATGGCTGTCTGCCTTAAATCACCTGATACTGAATGATTGTGTAAATGGGATTAATGTCTTTTCGGGAGTCCAGTGGTATTTGGTTGGAGCATGTGCAAAACCATTAATTAATAACTATTATAATAGTAGAATTTGGTGATCCAACACTGTGTACTGTCAGCTCCTTTAGGACACTAATTCAATGTTTGTAGTGCTTTTTTGCTCAGTTATATGAAAATGATGACTGTGGAAGTGTGATGTACATATATCACTCTATCTTATTCAGAATCCTGGTGGGTATCTTCAGATGACAGAGACTACTGTTTTATTTTTTTTAACACCCTCATCTAACTTGGAAGGACAATTGACCCTACTCAGTATTAGTGTGGTTGAAAAGAAAAAAAAAAGGATAACAATGTTTGATTTGAGTCCCTTCTACTGTGAAGGGCATCTATTTTTGTTTTTCAGATAAAATCACTTTGATTTGAACCAAGCTATTTGCCTTTGTGAGGGAAGAACAATATCTTGAGAAAACAAAACTTTTTTGCTTGGGCTTTGGCTGATGCTAGAAGTGTTTTGAGAATTGTGTGCCTTGGTTTTGGAGTAATGTTCATTCTGGCCGGTGAAGACTGTTGGGGGAAATACTAGGTTTGTTGCTAATGGAAATTATCATTGCCTGTATCAGGGAGAGCAGGGTGTCATCTGTCCTTAAGGAAGCATTGGTTTAACCTCGTGGCAAAAACCTGGATTTGGCAGTCTGAATGCTTTTTGCCATTTCAGAATTTCCATTACTGGTTAAGATTTCTGAAGACGATGTAATGAGACATCTCTCAATATCTTAATTGGGTGTTTCAGATCACCTAGATTATTCTCAATTTAAGTTCAGCCTTTTTTTTTTTTTTAAGAGCATGCATATAGCACTGGTTTATCCTGATGATTGATCCCCCTCTTACCATAGGTGAATGAGATATTCATACATATATTTTTAGATCTGTCAGTTGCCTGTGTTGATGCTGATCATGAGATATTGCCTTGCCAATAGATTCTAGTGGGAGTAGAAGGTGGTGCTATCAATGACTTGTATTCTATTCTTTGAGAGCTACCAAAGGGTGGTGATAAGGTGATGGCAACCTAGATAAGGATATTAAATTTAGAGTAATCAACTAATCGAATAGTCGATGCAATTTGCATCAACTATTCGATTAGTTAATAAGGGCACCTCCGCCTTTGAAATATAGCAAGAGCCCTTCCAGCTCTTGCTACATTTCAAAAGCGGAAGCACCGCTGGGCCAGTGGGAGACTCAAGCAATCCCCAGCTGGTCCCATGCTCTTTCTACATTTCAAAGGCAGAAGTGCTGGCAGTTCCCCATTGCGCCCCTGCCCTCCCTACTCATGGCGACGGTGCTAGAGAGAACCGGCTTTTCAGCTGACTCCCCCCGGCACCGGCTCCTGCTCCCTCCTTGCTGCCTCTCTCTGATAGAGGTAGCAAGGTGGGGGCGGGGAGCGACTTGTCGAGTCGACTATCTGATAAGCATATGCTTTTCGGACAGTCGACTAGTTGCTTACATCCCGAGTCCTAGAGGCAGAAAACCAAAGATAATATATGCAGCGGCTGGTTGATGTTCAGTCATTTCAAGAACAAGCCTAGAAGAATACATGTTGTTTTGGATATGTTACATTCTAGTGACCTTTTATTTGAACAGCTCTAATGCTTTTCTGTCACACATGTATCTGCAATGGAGACCTAGATTCTATCTATAATCTGTCCAAGTTATAAGCATTTGAAAAATTGTAGTTTGTGCATGCTCTTTATTTTATTTTATGCTTTTATTTTACCAGTTAAAATCTACAAAGATTCCACCCTCATTGAACATTCTCTGATTTCTCACAATTCCTAGTGATAACCACACTGTACTTGCACCACTGCTATAGAGTGACTTAGCATACTTCATGGCTATGTCTACACTGGCATGATTTTCCAAAAATGCTTTTAACGGAAAAGGTTTCCGTTAAAAGCATTTTCGGAAAAGCACGTCTAGAATGGCAGGATTCTTTTCCGCAAAAGCACTTTTTGCGGAAAAGCGTCTGTGGCCAATCTAGACATGGTTTTCCGCAAAAAAGCCCTGATAGCCATTTTCGCGATCGGGGCTTTTTTGCGGAAAACACTACTGTGCAGTTTACACTGGCCCTTTTGCGCAAAAGTCTTTCGGAAAAAGACTTTTGCCAAAACGGGAGCAGCATAGTATTTCCGGAAAATCACTGACGATCTTACATGAGATCGTCAGTGCTTTTCCAGAAATTCAAGCGGCTAGTGTAGACAGCTGGCAAGTTTTTCTGCAAAATCAGATGATTTTGCGGAAAAACTTGCCAGTCTAGACAGAGCCCATATGTTCTTGACTCTTACTTGTGATCAGAATGTGACTTAATAGAAGAGTTCCAGACCAAGCTGGAAGAGTAAGCATCTCAAACAGTCATTAAGAGAAAGCAGAAAGCTGTCTCCCTGCTGTCCAGGGGTGGGAGGGAAGCCCGAGCTTCGTGGACTGAATCAAGGCAGGCCTCCAGCTGGATCAGGCCTTCAGGCACTGCCTGGCATGGGGAGGAAAGGCTCTGCACTGGGATCTGTAGTGCAGAGAAGCTCTGTCCTCTGTGCTTGCTTGCATGCTCCACCCCGTTGCTCCCATTAGCTAGGAATCCTGGCCCATAGAGTAACAGGGGGTGATGTCTGCCAGTGCAGGGCAACAGAGAGAGCAGAGCTTCCCCTGCTCCCTCTTGCACCTCATTCCTTCCCAGATCCCACAGCTCCTGCACCTTTCCTCCCACCCAGACCCTGCACAACCAGCCCACTCCTGCACTCTATCTCCTGCTCAGACTCCAGTCCTGAAGCCCACCACCCAGACCCTGTACCTGCACCCCCAGCTCACTTCCCAGAAGCCCTCTCCCATATTTTTGGCCCCACCCCGGAGTCTATGAGGGTCCCTCAAAATCTAGAAGCCCTGGTTCCCCAGAAGGGTTAATCTGGCCCTAGAAGGAAGCCCTGGACCGTGTTGTCCCCCACCCCTAACCTCCAAGGGGCTGAAGTGCAAGGGGATGCCTGGTGCCCTGAGTTGCATGAATGAGGGAAGTGTTTCTCTTTTTTCTGTTTATTAGTTGAGGCCCACATCTGTGAGGATTTTTGCTTCTGACTTGCGTGTGTCACACAACTCAAAAAAGGTTCCTCACCCCTGGTCTAAAGGTTCTAAGTTCTCTGATGACTAAAATGTATTATGACACACAGTGGGATTTCTGTGTTTCTGGTTAGTTTTTATTTTTAAAAATTAGGAAATTAAAGATACCTACAAAAAGTAAGTTGAACAAACAAAAATAATATTGAATAGTCAAGTCCCAAAAAGTTAGGATATGCTGGAATTAATTTTGCCTGTACAACCTTAAATTTAGCTGCATTATGCATATTCTTTATGATGATCTTTAATTACATGATCACTCTGGGATCTGATTT